AAAAAAAACAGAACATCAGATTAACAAAAGAAACTTGTCTTTAATATAGATATACCAAGTAAACTTTCTAACATAAATCCATCAACGACGCATTCAATGCATTGTTGATGGATTTATGTTCTATAATTTATTCAACCCAGCGATTAAGAGCCGTAGAATTAATTTATTGTTCATTAATTGCAATTTACCAACCAATAACGAAGAGGCGAATAAGTTACAGTTGTAGATAATCAAGTTTAAAGATCTTAAAACGATTCGATACCCATTACTCTGCATGAGCAAGAAGTACAGGCCATTCTTAATCCATTCTGCCCTTCAAAGTGCTGATGTTCACCTAAAATCATTATAAGCTGAAACTTTAAAACCTGGTAAAAGATTCGCAAGAGAGAGTGAGAGAGGGAAGAACGCAATGATCATTGTTCTAAATAAAGGAGTGCCTTTTCTGAACTGTACTTTCCGGATGTTAGTAGAGAAGCGCGATACTTACTGCCCGGTGGGCCAAAGGGCACATATTTCGTGCTTTTCAGCGTCGGCATCATGAATGTTCAAAAAAAAGGTAACAGGTAGTTAAAAAGGTTTTCAGTCTTTTGATTTTGAAACACATTCAAAACATTAGTAAGGTCAAAAACTTATGAGAATGTCACTAACAAAAATTCGTAGTTATCAGGTCAGTTTGAATGAGTGTTGCCAAAGTAAGGAAGTAGTAATTTTGAATAACCAACAGCAAAGCATTCTGTCTAGTATTGAACACCACTTTTACGTCTCTAATAGCGAAAAAATCATAACTATTAACCGTGTACCTTCAACATGCTATCATGATTTCAATGTTTACAAAATGCTGAATCAAAACAGTCTCCATAGCATATGAAGAACTTTTTTTAATGAACATGTCATAAATAACGGAAAAACTTTTTGCAACAAAATATCTGAACGATCGAAAAAGAGAAGAAAGAACAAATATTTATTATTGCATGGGAGTGAAGGCAATAAAAATAAGCAGGTTTGTTTGACTGCATGAACCAACCTTGTCCTTAGTGATAGTGTACACAACAACCCCCCATCCAGATGCCGCATCTCGTTCTAAGCATGATAACATCGATTGTGCAGTCGCCTCAAACAGTTCTTCCGGACTCATATTTTCCCGCCAAAAGCCTAAAAATTCAATAATGGCGAGAAAATGTTGAGATTTGAATAAAGAAAGGTCCAAAGACTCACTCTCGCAAACACCTAATAAATACTCCTGTCCAGTGCCAACAGCGACGAAATCCCGCGGTGCAGCAATACAACCGATCGTATCCATAGAGCATATATACGGCTTATTAGTGTCTGGATCGAGGCCAGCTACCAAGGGTTCTGTGAAAAATGATCCAAAGCGATGCTGATAAGCAAGATTTGAAATCATAGTGGCTAGTACCTAGAAGAACGGGAAATGAATGACATTTTTCAGAAAAAAAATTTTTTTCAACACTTACTGCAGGTTTAATTTTCCGATTCTCTCGTAGTTCATACAAGGTTTTCCTAAATGTGATCTTCTCTAGCACAGTTTTCGCATCAGAACTAAATCCACTGAGACCGACATAAACTCTGTCACCAATTTTATGAACCTAGGAAAGTTGCAGTTGATTAATACGATAAAGAAAGGAGAAAGGAAAGAAACGGAGCAGGATGAAAGACATTCAAAATCTTACCTTCTTTTGATCGACTGCTATTGTGGTCATTTGCTCTCCCAATCTCAAATCTGAGGCGATGCAAACGCATCTAAAAATGAAAAGATAAGCTCAATGTGAACGAGACAAAACATTTCATGGCATTCAAAGTTCTGATGCTTCTGCAACAGCCGAAAATATAAGAATAACAAATTCATGAAAAATGTGCAAAACAAAATTCTAGCCTTTTTTATTCACAAAGAGCATTCACAATGGCATGTAATGCGCTAGGTTCCTGGTAATCATGCGTACATGTATGCTTACTTCAAGCAACGATCAAAAATTATTAAGTTAATGAAACTCGGCTACACTTTATATTCAGTGTGAATATCATAAACAAACTTCGAAAGGATGATAAGAGAGAAGAGAAAACGTAAAGAAAATACTTACTCATTCCCCGCCATGGCGAGGATTGTTCCTCCATTATAGCTCATAATACTCATGATGTCTGATTTTGAAGAGTCGCTTGCCCACCTGAACCGCCCTAAGTGTATAGCATGATCAAATAATGAATTCCAAAAAATAAAGTACGCGAAAAAACGATGAGCAAGCTAGAAAGTTTCCATTTTACGTTTATTATAGCAACGTTAAAAATATAACACGAAACAAAACATGACCTGTTCATAGAGCTTCAGCTTATAACGTATCTCAAGAGAACGTAAACAATGGAACAATAATATATTGTAAATGGCTTGAAAGGACAACATGTAGACTAAGATTATATAAACAACAACATCATCAAAACCGATGAATTCAAATGATGACAAAGTTAAAGTCATTTCTTCAACGCGACCGCAATGGAACACCTCACAAAGCATTATACGGCCAAGCGAAAAAAAA